CTCTGTAAATGTTTATGAAAATTAATAAAATATAATTATAGAAAAAAAAATTTGTTTTATATGTGCTGTCCATTTCATTACACAGCACATGGCATGACTATGCTCAGTGGCCAGGCTTTAATTACTTTCCATTTTTGCTCAACTCTGAATCAAGAACAAAAATCTTATTATGATTACCTTTGTGACCGTGGCGTGTGGATGAGCGTTTAGAAGCAATCAGTGTTATCTACAGTGTAAAAGCTCCTGTCTGCTCCCTCCTGATCCCAATCCTACAGTTTGTTTTCCTGTCTATATTGCTGTTGATACAAAGGACAGGGCAGGCGAGGGGGAGATGTCCTCACCCATGGATTTTCCCAGTGATAAGTGAGTCACCCCACACATTTCCCTCACGTATGCATGGCATGGTTCATGTAGACCACTGGCTCTCATTCTGTACATACAGTTCTGTCCAACTATACCGTCAAGTGAAACATCTACTAGTGGCGTGCCTGATAGTAATTGAGCATCTACAAAACACAAACCTATTTGCTGGGTCAATACCAATTCATAGTAACCCTACAGGTCAGAGTAAAGCTGCCACATGAGGCTTCAAGGCTGTGAATCTTTATGGCCGCTGACTGTCACATCTTCTTCCTGTGCATTTACACATCTACACTATTGCTGTTGTTGTTATGTGCCATCAAGTCATCTGTGACTCTTAGCGACCTTATGTACAACAGCCCTAAACATTGCTCTATCCCTTGCTGATCTCACTGTCTCCGACACACCTACTCCCATTACCCCAGTGACTGAATCAATCCATCTCAACAAGGGTCTTCCTCTCCTGCACTGTCCCGCCACCCTCCCAAGCATGACATCCCTCTCCAAGGACTGACCTCATCTTGCAACATGTCCAAAGTATGTCAGACGAAGCTTCAGAACCTTGCCTGCAAGGAGCAGCCTGGCTTCACCCTCTCCAGGACATACTTATGTGTTCTCTTAGCAGTCCATGTTGTATTCAATACTCTTCTCCAGCACCACAGCTCAAAGGCATCAATTCTCCTTCTAGGCTCCTTAGTCAATTGTCCAGCTCTCTGATACATAACAAGTAACTGCAAAGACCATGGCCTGTTTCAGGCACACCTTAGTCTCCAGACTGATATCGTTGCTCTTCAGTACTTTGGAGAGGTCTCTGATAGCAGATTTTCCCAATGCAATTCATCTTTTGATTTCCTGGCTGCTAGTACCAAGAACTGATTATAGAGCCAAGAAAACTGAAATTGTTAACAATCTCAATCTCTTCACTATCTATCAAGATGCTGCTGATCAGCCCAGTGGTCAGAATCTGTTTTCTTGATGCTAAGCTTCAATCCATATTGGAGGCCGCAGTCCTTGACCTTCTGCAGCAAGTGCTTCAGGTCCTCCTCAGTTTCAGCAAGCAGCGTTGTGTCATCTGCATAATGCAGATTGTTGGTGAGTCATCTACACTAGTGAATCTCAAATGCTATCCTGAACCAGCAGTAGCAAGACCTGGAATAGTTAGAATTATCAATAGGTGGGCTTCACTCCAAAAACTCTAAACCAAACTCACTGCCATACAGTCTGTTCCAACTCACAGAGACCCTCCTTCAGGTCTCCCACACTGTAAATCATAACAGGAGACTGCCCATCTTCATCCCAAAGAGCCTCTGGCAGACTCAAGTAGCAGGCAGGCTGTGGAATCTTGAGAAATACACCAAAGGAAACAGGCAAGAGGGTGAGGAACCCAGAGGGGGAGAATTCAACCCTCCTCTACCCCAGGACTCGAGAATTAACTCTTACTTGATCTAGTTAACTCCCTTAACTGCATGTCTTTACTTTTGCCGAAATATTTCTCAAAAGCATGGTCTAGCCCATGGTCTCCATTGCTTCATCACATTTCCCCCTTACTCCCTTGCAACACCGCTCCAAGTTTCAACACTTCAGTGCTCTCTGCAGAATGTGGTCTCTCTTGTTCCTTCCTATTACAAGACTTCAGTCCCTTTCAAGGGAGGCAGGGGAGCGTATTACAATCACTTGTGTAGTTTTCTCAAATTCCACATCAGAATCAATTTAAGTCTGTGGTTCTCAGTCACTGCCCATCAAAATCCCACAGAGACCTTTTAAAAGCCCAGGTGGAGGGCTACCACTTATGGAAGCTTTGCAATGTCTCACTTTGGCTCCACCAAACATTGCCTAGAATTCCCTTTCCAGTTAGGGCAGGCAAGAAGAGGTTAATGGGGGCTGACTGGGAGGGTGGAAGTGAAACAGCGGCCATATGGGGGCTCTTACACTTTGATGCTTGCTTGCTGACTCATCTTGTTGGGCAGATCTGCACCTGCTGCACCTTCCCCTGGATCCTTCTTCAGCTCCGACTCTTGAGATCAGGGGTGTGTGTTTAGCTCTGTGATGAAGGGCCCTGGTTTCTGACCAATACTCACACCATCAAGACCAGAGACAAGACCTGACTGGAGCTTCATTCCATCCTGAGTCCCAGCTTGTCCTTGTTCTCTCCACTTTGCATCCTGGCTACCGGCCCTGTGCGAGTCAACCTTCAGCATCAGCCTCAGATTGCTTAATCAGATCCCACAATTACTTAAGGTCAAATCCATAACAAATCCCTTTATATATAAGTATGTGTCTCTAATTGAACCCTGATTGCTACAACATGCCAATTATGTCAGAAGCTCAGGAGTGAAGTCTAGACCTGAGTATTTTTTTTTAAATCTTCCAAGAGTTATTTGAAACCAAGGTTAAAACCGTAAATAAAAAACCTCAACATGCAACAGTCTTTGCTGGAGTAGGTCAGTAATTCCTTCAGACAGGTGAGCCAGAATTGAAGAAGAGTTAAAATCCTGCTCTGCCTTATAGAATAGTATTTTCTCTCATTTACTCCTCTTTTCCCTTTCTCACTTACAAGTCCCAACTCAACTCACAGGTCACCACAATATCACTGTCTCTTAGCCTTCCCTCGCTCCAATTCATCCCAGAGCGATCTTCTAGAATAGTATACATAACATCCCTCCATGTTCAAAGACTTTCAGAAACTCAGAGTCCCCTGAGAGTTCAAGGCTAATCTCCTTCCTCGGGTGAAAACCATCCTACCACTCCTTTTCCATTGTGAATCCGTATCCTGAGGACTTTCTGAATCTCTGTCAGATGGAAAGGGAGAAGAAGCAACAAATGATTGTACAGTGAGAAGGGGAAAAGTCTGCTCTGGTCTTCTCAGACTCTGCTTAAAACCAAGGCCGCCACTTGGGTAATGTCCCCTACACGCCACAGTCTGCCTCTCTCTGCTCATTTCTCTTCCCACTTGCTCCCCAAAGACACTTATGTTAAAGGTAATTAATAAACAATGAAGAGACTTGTGACATTTTACAAGCAGCTGCTGATTTCTACTTTTATGTTCCATTTATGCTGCTGCTACTATGATCCTACTCCCCTAAGATCATTATGTTGACCTACAACCACAAGACCATAGCCTGAACCAGAAGGAATTCTCACACCCTCTGCCAGCATCCAGCTTTCATAGCCAGCCCCTTCAATACTCAATAAGGCCCTCTTGTATCCTGGAGCTCTCTAAAACAGCACACAAACTGATTTTTAAATTCTCTTGCTAAACATAATTTCTTCAAGAAATTACCTGTTTGTTTCTTGGGGTAAACGCTATCTTTTCATAAGTCTGAAGAGAGTAAAAAACTGGAATTGAATTATTGGGTGAAGGTCTCATTATGGGCCCATTATCATAAATACTTATATCATACATTACATGAATATGATCATAAAGTGTTTATGCAAAGGAGATATTTGACATTACCAAGAACTACTTCTGATTTTTTTTTTATTTTTCACTTTTTTATTTAATTCTGCTTCATGTGGTAATGTTTATATTGGAAATACACTTTCTCTAGATTTCACTACAAGAACTACTCACCCATATCTCTCTGCAAGTTCTCTGGCTTCCTCTTCTTTTACAACCCTCTGGTCTTCCAAATCACTCTTATTTCCACATAATACTATATCAGGGTTTTCACAATATGCATGCATTTGTAGCTGACCTATTTGAGAAGATTTTTAAATTGTTGTAGATTAATAATAATGTTTGCCGTCATTAATAGAGAACATATGCAAAACTTCTATGAAACATGCAAATTGATATACAGACATAAGAAACAGATACAGAATAGCTTTTAAAGCATCAACACCCTAATCTGTAAAATTGAATAGCTTGGACAGATATATACCCTGGATTCAAACATATAACCCAACTTCTTTTTACACCATGTTGTTGTTGTTATGTGCTGTCAAGTTGACTATAACTCATAGCGATCCTATGAACAATAATTCTGAACCCTACCCTATTCTGCCAATCTCACCATCTGACACATCTGACCCCATTGCCACTGTCACTGTGTCAATCCATCTCATCCAAGGTCTTTCTCTCCTGCGCTGTCCCTCCACACTTCCAAACATGATCTCCTTTTCCAAGGATTGGTCCCTCCTGGCAGAATGCCAAGTTACATAAGAAAGAGTCTCAAAATCCTTGCCTCCAAGGAGTATCCTGGTTTCTCTTTCTCTAGGACAGACCTGTTCTCTTGGCAGTCTATTATATGTTCAATACTCTTTTCCAGCACTATAACTCAAAAGCATCGATGCTTCTTCTGTCATCCTTAGTCATTGTCCCGCTCTCAAATGCACAGCAAGCAATCTAGAAAACCATGGCCTGAATCTGGCACACCTTTGTCTCTAGAATGACAAAGTTGCTCTTTAGCACTCTTGTAAGGTCCCTCACAGCACACATTTTTTCCAAAACAACTTGTGTTTTGATTTCCTGACTGCTGGCACCAAGAGTGTTGACTGCGTATCTGAGTAAAATGAAATTGTTAACAACCTCAATCTTTTCTCCATTTATCATGATGATGTCATTTGGGCTGGTGGTGAGAATCTTTGTTTTCTTGATGTTGAGCTTCAATCCATATTGAAGTCTGAAGTCCTTGATCTTCTTCAGCAAATGCTTCAAGTCCTCCTTAGTTTCAGCAAGCAAGATTGTGTGAGTACACAACGCATATTGCTGACAAGTCTTTCTCTAATCCAGAAGCTGTATTCTTCATAAAGTCCAGCCTCTTAAACTGTTCTAATATAGATTGAAAAGGTATAAAGAAAGGATACACCGGAGACACACTCTTTTCTTGATTTTGAATCATGCAACATGATTCATGTTGAGTTTGTACAACAACTTCCTGGTCTAGGTATAGGTTTCAAATGAGCACAATCAATTGTTCTGGGATTTCCATTCTTCTCAATGTTAGCCACAATTTGTGATCCACACAGTCCAATGCTTTTGCATAGTCAATAAAACACAAAAAGACATCCTTCTGGTACTCACTGCTTTCAGCCAAGATCCTTCTGACATTGGCAATAATATCCTTAGTGCCACAGCCTCTTCTAAACTCAGCTTATATTTCTCTGTCCATGTATGTTCTATTCATTTCTAGATAATCTTCAGCAAGATTTTCCTTGCATGCAATATTAGTGATACTGTTCAATAACTTTCACACTCTGTTGGATCACCTTTTTCAGTAATAGGATATGGATCTCTTCCAGTTAGTTGGCCAGGCAGTTGTCCTCCAGATTTCTTGGGACAACCTGGTGAGCACATCCAGGGATGCGTTTGTTTGTTGAAATATGTCAATTGGTATTTCATCAATTCCTGGGACCAATTACTTCAGAGCATCTTGAATGTCTTCCTTTATTGTCATTGGTTCTTGATCAGATGCTATTTCATGTAACTGTTCTGTATCAGTCAATTCTTTTTGAAAGAAACCCTGTGTATTCTTTCCATCTTCCTTTGATGCTTCCTGAATCATTCAATATTCTGGTTATAGCATCTTTTTAAGTATCTGAACCATGTTATTGTTATATGCCATTTATTTGCTTGCAATTGATAGTGACCAACATACAATAGCTTTGAACGCTGCCCTATCTTGAGCCAAGTTCATTGTCTCCAACACACCTACCCACTGCCCCATTACCCACTACCCAGGGTCTTCCTCTCTTGCACTGTCCTCCATCCTCCCAAGCATGATGCCCTTCTCCAAGAACAGAACCCCGTATACTCCACAGCTTTATTTCTTTTTCCCTGACAAACTATAAAAGGTATGATTTTTAAAACTATTAAATCACACAAAACATCTTCAATAAGCTAAGAAGTTTAATCTTCCTAAGAAGGAAAAGAAAGCTTTATTTTTTTTTTTACTCACCCCGCTTATGAAATTAAAGCAACTCGAACTTTCAAAATAAGGTATACCTCAAAGTTTATGACCAAATGTAATTTTTATCATGGTTAACCAGAAAAATGTTGACACTTTAGTTCCTCATTATAAAGTCATGTGCACTGTATATTAGCAAAAGAAATTCAAGTCTGTGAGTGATGATTATTGGGCATTAACCCTGGTCTGACATTTAGAGTTTTAGAGGGCACTCCAACATGCTCGAGGGGCAATTTAGCTAACAAGACTAGAAACAAAATTCATTCCCATCCAGTCTATGCCCACTCATAGTGAACCTACAGGCCAGAACCAATCTGTCCACACTGTCTTTCCAAACCTGCAATCTAGTAGAAGCTGACTGCAATACTGTTCCACCTCAGAGCAGCTGGTGAATTCAAACCACTGACCTATTCAGTTAGCAATCAAGTGATTAAACACTGTACCACCAGCTTCTTAGTCTGGCAGGGTAAGCAAAACCAAACTAAGCACTATTTCCAAGAACAGCCATGTTATTTCACCCCGCTGAGTTGTTAAGCATGCTTCACACCCTTCCTTCAGCCAATCCTCACTCTTCCTTTAAGCCTTCTCCTTAAGAATCCCTCTCTTAAGGAACTTGTCTTGAGAGTGGCTCTGAGCTCTGGTTAACACCTTCTATGGCCTTTGTTTGGTCATGAGCATGGACTTAAGACCCAGTGTGCCTAGTGTTGAATCCGGGCTCTGTCATTTCCTAATTGTGATCCTGGGAAAGGTTTCTACCTCTTTGTGCCTATTTCCCCTTCAGTAAACTGTGAGGATAGCACCTACTTAATAGGATTCAATGAATTCATTCAGTGTTATCCCAGGTAACATCTGGCTCATCACTGAGCAGAAGCATCACCCAATGCCTTACTGGAAACTTGTTAGAAATGCAAATTTCTAGGTCTCACCCCAGACCACCTGCTGAATCAGAAGTTCCAGATGTCCAGCAATCTCTTTTAACAAGCTTTTCAGATTATTTTCATTCAAACTCACTAAAGCACTCAGAAGTGCTTAAATTTGAGACTCACTGACTTAGTACATTGAAGCACTTAGAAGTGCTATGTCAATATTACCAGTAATAATGATTAATAGTGGGACCTCAGGAAACGAAAAGATGCAATTTTTTAATTTCCCTTTAGTCTGAGTTTTCAAGAAAGAGGGTGAATTACCTATAATTTTTAAAAGGCAACTGTTGCTGTTGTTGTTGTTGTTGTTGTTGTCATTATGTGCCATCGAGTTGCCTGCGACTCATAGCAACCCTGTGTACAAGAGCCTAAACGCTGTTCTATCCTGTGCCAACCTAGCCATCTCAAATGCACTTATTCCCACTGCTCCAGTCACAGAATCGATCCATCTCATCAAGGGTCTTCCTCTCCTTTGCCGCCCGTCCACTCTGCCAAACCAGATGTCCCTCTCCAAGGACCAGTCCCTCCTTGCAACATGCCCAAAGGACGTCAGACGAAGCTTCAGAATCATTGACTCCAAGGAGCATTCCAGCTTCACCTTCTCCAGGACAAACCTGTTTGTTCTCCTAGCAGTCCAGTATATTCAACACTCATCTCCAGCACCACAGCTCAAAGGCATCAATTATCTTTCTATCAACCCTAGTCACTGTCCAACTCTCTGATGCATAGCACGTAACTGCGAAGACTATAGGCCGGATCAGGTGCACCTTAGTCTCCAGCCTGACACCGTTGCTCTTCAGTACTCTTGAGAGGTCCCTCACAGCTGACTTTCCCACTGCAATTCTTCTCTTGATTTCCTGGCTGCTGATACCAAGAGTGTTGATTGTGGAGACAAGTAAACTAAAACTGTTAACTATCTCAATCTCTTCACCATCCACACTGATGCTGCCAATTGGCCCAGTGGTGAGAGAATCTTTGTTTTCTTGATGTTGAGCTTCAGTCCATATAGGAGGCTGCAGTCCCTGATCTTTTGCAGCAAGCGCTTCAGGTCCTCCTCAATTTCAGCAAGCAGCATTGTGTCATCTGCATAACGCTGGTTGTTGATGATTCTTCCACCAATCCTGATGCCACATTCCTCTTCGTATAGCCCAGCATCTCGGATGATCTGTTCTGCATACAGACTGAAAAGGTATGGAGACAGAATACATCCCTGTCAAACCCCCTTCTTGATTTTGAACCATGTAGTGTCTCCTTGCTCTGTTCTGACAACTGCCTCTTGGTCCAAGTATAGGTTTTACATTAGCACAATCAAATGTTCTGGGATTCCCCTTCTTCTCAGAGTCAGCCACAACTTGTTGTGATCCACACAGTCAAAAGCCTTTGCATAGTCAATGAAGCACAGATAGACATTCTTCTGGTATTCTTTGCTTTCTGCCAAGATCCATCTAACATTAGCTATAATATCCCTAGTAACGTGACCTCCTCTAAATCCAGCCTGCACATCTGGCAGTTCTCTGTTGACATATTGTTCCAAACATTTTTGGATCATTTTCAGCAGAATCTTACTTGCATGTGATATTAATGATATTGTTCGATAATTTCCGCACTCTGTTGGGTCACCTTTCTTTGGAATGGGAACAAATATTGAACTTTTCCAGTCAGTCGGCCAGCTGGCTGTTCTCCAGATTTCTTGGCACAACTTAGTGAGCACATCCAGGGCAGTGTCTGTTTGTTGAAATTAGTCAATCTTAAAAAAAAAAAAAAAAAGGCCCATAGGAAAAAGTCACATACATTATTCACTATAATGTCAGTGGTATGTATAGGGATTCTAAAATAAAGTAAAAATAAAATATATATATATATAAT